CTGAAAGTGTTTTATATTATTGTCCATATTTTACTAAATTTAAAACTACTAACTAAATCATGTGATATTCATATTTCTTCGATGGTGTATTATGTCATAATTTTCCTGATACCGACGACACAGGTTACGCCCGTGGCCAAAAATATCAGATATTTAAAAACCAGGATTAAAATAACTCAACCATCTTTGCAATTTCTAAATATTAATCAAAAAGCTATCCCAATATTTTCTAAAAACCCAATAAAAACAACCGAAATTGCGCGCCCACGCAATCACTCAAGCGAAAACGAATCGTCGTCTGCAGTCACATGACGCTGGCAGCTCAGCCTTGCGATAGCAAAGCCGCGGATGTTCTCGGGGGAATCGTTTCGTTCTTTATGAGGAGATCCGCGAGACAGAACGATATTATCGTCCTTCAGAATTCTTTGCGCAGAAGGAATTCGGCTGAGACCGAGAATTTCGGGGATCAGCTGACCCATTTGGTGGGATCGATCAAATGCTACGCCCAATAAAAGTCCCGAGGTTCTCGGGCACCTCATCGTCGGCGGCTACTTACTGAGACGCGGCTGAGCGATGAAGTCGCGGGACACAGCAAGCGCGTGTTCCTGGCTTGCCTGATGGCTGTCGATGCCTTTCGAGAACATCTCGACTTCGTTTACGGACGGTTCGCACTCTCACGTTATCCGTCGTAGTCACTGTACTCGCTCCGACGAAACAGCAGAAGATACTGGTGGCTTCGCCACTGCGTCGACCGACAGAGACGGACTGAGCGGCGTGATGATGAAGAGGGGATGAGCGTGTGACTCGCGCGTCTAAATAACGACTACGGCGCGCAAATATATGGAATATATGTTGTGAAAAATAGATGGAAAATCCTCCTTGAAAAATTTGCGTACTGAAATATATTGTATTCCTTCGATTCCTTTGAAGAAATTGGCGAAAATTGTAATACGCGTGACGATGCAGTGTACATTTTGAAGGAGTGAGAAGGACGGTAGATCAGGCACGTGCAATCACGTGGCTCGAACTAAGTGAATCATTAAACGTCCGCTTCGAATGAATTCATAGGAAGACACTGTACTTAAATATGAAAATGAAGGGTACGAAATTAAAAGAAGTGTCGACGGGATTATTCACGAAGTCACGATAAAGTCTATCATTTTTTGTATTTTTTTACCATCTAGCGATAGAAGATGGCGGCTTCTTCAATGCATGATGACAGCGCGATAGACGGCTCTGCAATCTAATTGCCGGATACTGATAAATTACATAAAATTATTCATTACTCACATTATCGTATTCAATTTATCATATCTGAATAAGCATGTATCCTTAAACAAATCATTGCTTTCGCCAGTCTTGTTGAATTCGTGAGTATAGTTGGTAACCTAAAAGCTCATTAAATTTTATTCCCATTAATACTTTAAATAAAATATTATAAATAAATTTTTGTTTTTTTGCAATTTGACACTAACATTTTTAAATTATTCAAGATATTACACAATAATCTATATTGTAATCATATATAGTTTATAAAATAATATAGCGTTGTCTTAAGATACAAATATTTATAACCTTTAAAAGTCAAACTTGCACTTTTTTGTACTTTATTTATTTTTTTCTTTTTCCTCAACTATGTAAATATGCATTTACAATATAAATACATATGTATGTATTAATATGTACTTCGTTTACAGAAAGTGTACGAGACGAGCGCGCGACATCAGGTGCGAGTGGCGCGGCTTGCGAGTGTTCGTGACGTGACGGCGCTAGTTCACGCTACTTGGTCCGCCGCTGACACTTATCGGAGTGGCGGCGGGGCAGTGGTTGGTACATCCGAGTGTATTTCGTAGTGAGGGCTAGAGCGGACGGCAAGGTTTTCTCAGCGTGATCGCGAGCCAGTCAATCGAGTCAGTTGGACTCAGTGTGCGAGCGAGTAACAAGTTGATAACCAGTGGACGTCGAAGTGATGGCGGCCCTTAAACGAATCACCAGCCTAAGCCGGGCGCTTGCAACAATAACGTCCGCGTCGCGGCCCTGTCTGCAACATGCCTCCAGAAAAACGTTTTTCACGTATGTGAACGAGCCATCCATGCCGATCCCCGCCAAGGAGCCCTGCTGGCTGAAGACCGCCGACGAAGCCATCGAACAGGCTGAACTTGATTCAGGTAATCGATGACAGTGTTTTCCACCTTTCGCCAATGTGAAAAGAGGACAGCGATATGATGATTTTTCATGGATTATTTGAGGTTTATATAAGACCGATTTTTAAGTCAATGTGTAGGTAATTTGGTGACGTCAACTTTGTTTTCTTTATCATAGGTCTTTGTCTATATCATATGTGAGACTCTAGTAAAAAAAGGACGGCAAATTACCGTCTTTTACGGAATCCGTCATCATTAATGAGTTTGCGTTGAAGACGAGCCCAAGTTCTGAGATCATCTCTTTATGAGGATTTCAAAGTATTTTAATCTGGCTGAAGCTTTGCATTTCCCGGAGGAAAATTGATCCTTTCGATTGTACAAGAATTATCTTATATTTATTCTCTATCATATCATCTGTTTCATTGTTGCATTAGGATTTTATTTCTGTAAGGTGGCCAAAACTATATTATTATCATAGTTTTTCGTGGATGTTTTATTATAATGAGATACAACTCCGAAGTCTAGAATCATTGAACGTCAGAGGAGTTGTGCAAATACGCAGTTGATCGTCGATTTACAAGAACGATCCGTTAAACTGAACTTCCTCCTAGCAAGCTTATTACCGCCTGCAATCGGATTAAATGCAAGCACATAGATTAAATGCATGCACATAGATGTGCGGCGAGGTACAAACGATGCTGCGAAATTGATGATGATATTATTTCGAGTTTTGTAAACATATTATTGTACAGTGTTTACACATGAATCTTTATTTACACCAATTAGTTACAAACAAGATAAACAGAGTTAAGAAACAATTTGACTATGAATGTGTGAAGTTATATAAATGTAATGAATTTTAAATAATTTTATATAAGCCAAATAGTTAATCTTTCAGATAGATAAATGATCAGACGAATAATCTAACTTGCATATTGCAATATTTGTATGAGTGTGCTTACATTTGTCATGTATTCGCTATTTTTTATTAGATGTTGGCCGCTCAAGATGTTTGCGTTCGGTCGATTTTCGCGCCGTTTCAAGTTCCTACTTGTGAGATAATCGATTGCCAGTACGGAGGCCTGGTATAGATAGGACGTTTGCCTTGAATATACGACATTATTTTCGTACGACCCTCGCGTAGAAAATGACTTGTAGATAAACGTGTCGATTAAATAAGTCGATGTAATTCGAGCAACTATATTCTTTATATCTGATACAATATAGCAAAAATTTATTACGCGCAACACAAGGATTTCAAAGAAGATATAAGTGCATTGATAAAATTAATCGCAAAATCTCTTGAAATTATCCTTTAGATATTCAAGGCTTAGAACAATTTAATAGTCATGCAGAATGAGACTGCAAACAACTTTAACTTATTTTCAACTAACAGAACTTGCTCGTTCCAAAGATGTCAACACTTATTATATGTGGATAATTATAACCAGAGAGGAATGCTGCTAACGTTTCTTTATCTATCTAAAATTTATTGCTTTTTATATTTATGAAGAAAAATGAGAGAATTCTGCGTTCTTACTGATAAAGAAAATTACCTAATAATTGACTAAAATTAAGCAGCTGTTAATTTTTGACTGCTGCTAATGATGACTGATTTACAATTATTGATACTCTGATTTAAATATCTTTTGCACTATTGTGAAGCATTGGGGGTATTATTTTGTTCTTTATTTGATAACGACAGAATCAATGAGCTTTAGTTAACGGACGTAATCTATTTATGTATTCATAAAATAACAATCTGATATAATCGTAAGATAAAATATTATCATAAAATGATAATGTTAGTTATTAGTGAGTGATATGCAGATCTGGGACATCTTATATAATCTATATCTTTATGAGAAAATTATAATATTATGTAAATCTTACGAAAATAATAGAAATATAAGCCATCTAGAGCTAATTTAATACACATTTACGGCGCTGGTTTTTATTTTTATGATACACGGCTTTCTAAAGTGATGTCACTCTTTTGTAAGGTGTCCTTGCTGCTCTAATGTGTTTAAGTTGAACTAAATGAGTTTTTAAATTTCATTTTTGTAATAATCTTACGAAATTAAAAATTGATTTTGTAAGTTTATTCATCGTTGATCTTGATGAATTTAATGATCTGTTTTGCTGACAGCTGTGCATGATACGGAAAGAATGGATCGCAGCTACCAACATTGACCTCGACACGCATACGCAAATGTGCAGCTGTACGTCGGTGTTTGCATATACACGCGGATATCAAAGTCTAGTTCTCGTTTAAATATAGCTCATCATCGCCGACTAAAATTTTACCGATGTTTTGCACAATAAATGATTATTTCGGGTTTTCGCGACGTAAATATTTTTCCTTTCTGCGATGTGTAATGCATATGTTATTTTAAATAAAATAAAAACAAAGTTATTTTATCTTTTCAGTTTTTGCAATATCTTAATCTTAATTACTCTTGTTGCAAAAAGATATGTATTAGTAATTGAAGTATGTACATATATTGAATGACGTAGGTATGAGAGTTGGAATGTCACATGTCATCACATGTGATAATGTAACATATTTCGCAATGAAAGTTATAGGATAAAAATATCTTTTAATGTACGGAAGAATCGATGTATCCGGTATGTATTTTGGACCTGCGGCTTTTAAAAATATTCTCTAAACTAGTTGTATCGAATATTATTTATAACTATAACATTGCATGGAAAAAAAGAATTTTGCTATCGCAGCAAAATCGTCATTATATTGTGTATCAGATGTGGTAGCGACAACATTATGCTACCATACCTAATTTTTCAAATTATTCGATATATCAGCAAAATCCATTTTGCTGGTAGAATGATAGATGAATTTTGTTGAATACATTTGTTCGTAAAGACACAAAGATGCAAATTTTAATGGCAAAGTAAAAATTAATTTGTTATAATAGCGATATAATTTGTAGATTTAGCAAAATTATTTGCAGCAAATAAAATTAGCATCCGTAACAAATCTTTTTGGTATCCATGTAATAATTAACATGTTTTGCTATAACAGCGTAAAATTTGCTGTGCCAGCAAATTTTTTTTCCATGCGAGAACGACAAAAATTGCTATTTTGAAGACTAATTTAATTCTGCTAATAATTATTTTATGTTGTAGTAAAACAGATGTTTCTAAATGCATATGAATTATATATGTAAATGTGCTCGGGATGTTGTAATAATTCATATCTTAGTACATCATAAAAATTTTGATAAGATATGTGCGATGTTATCTGCTGAATTTATCTCATTAATAACAGAATTGATTTGGTAATAAAATTAATCTTTTCTTGATATATATTAACATAAAACTATCAAAGATAATAGTAATTATAACAATAAGTGAAAATAATAATTAGCATAAATAGTAAAGATATTTTATATTATTATTGTGTGAAATTTTTAATTATTTTGTAGACTAAACTGCAGATTAAATTTTTAATTATTTTGTAGAATAAACTGTATGAAAATTGCTGCTAAAAAATGCATTTAGTGCGATAAATAACAGGATGTTTCACTTTGAAATGAAGTCTTCCTATTTACTAATAACTGCAACGTCATAAACCATGTAAACATTAGGCAACGCATACTGTAATCTACAGTATTATACGGTCCAAAGTACAAAAGTCCTCGAATGTGTCAGGCTTTTTATCAGTATAGTAAATAATTTTTTTTATTAAACTTTGTAGTTAGATACACGACATATTATATACATTTTAAAAAAAGATTGATTATCGACGTCTTTTGCTACAGAAAAATGTATTGATAAGTTTTTGTCGTATGATTTATATTACGATTAAAATCATATGAATTATTTAATGCAGGTTTTATTTATGTAAATGATATTAAAATACCAGATCCAAGAGTTGTGTAATATAAAGTGTTATTATTTTTATTAGAATTTTTCTAAATTTTAGAGGACTTTTCCTCGGAATATCTAATTGTAAGCTTCATAAATGTACAAATAGATAAAGTCTCACTCTTTAATTTTGTATAAATTTTGTTGCGGCGTAAAATTTGCGATATTTTTAACTCTCAATTTATTATTTACAGATCAAGTGGTGTACGTACAGGGCGCGGCGGCAACTCCTGTTGAATTGTTAAGAGCGATGACCGATTACGGGGTACGCTGCGATGTGAGAAACGTCCGTTTGTATCATATGCATCTCGAGGGGCCAGCTCCGTTCGCTAAGCCAGAAAATGCAAGTACGTCGTGGTGCACACTCGTAATCTCCTGCCTTTTAAATAATATACATATCTCAATAACAACTTACCATTCAGCGCAACGTTGTTTTGTCCTTCGCGTTCTTTTGCGCTTTGTTTCGTTCAACTTTTCTCTGTGTTAGCACAGCATACGTACTTTACATAACTTTTGAACAAATCAACCACTATATTTAAAATTTAATTGCAAAACATTTTACTTAGAAGCTCAAATTGTGAGATAGATATTAAGATTTTTGAAGCAAAATGTAAAGAAATTGTGATATAAAGAATTCAATTTTTGCTGAAAACAATTTGTTTCATCAAAATCAAGTTATTGAGGTTCAGTGGCATATAACGAATGTCGTATTGATATGTTATTCTATCTTACAATGTGTCTGTATTTTTCAGAGCACTTCAGATCCTTCAGCTTGTTTATCGGCGGCAACGTGCGGCCCGCGGTGAACACTGGCACCGCCGACTGCATTCCCATTTTCCTGCACGAAATTCCGCGCCTCTTCAAA